TCAATACTGAGGTTAGTAACCTCCGACTGGGTTGGAAAAGTGTCAGGGAAATAGACACTCGCATTTTTCCGATAGTGTGTAAACAGGCAGAGCTCATGTAGGTTGGGAGACTACACATAACTCTTTGCCTGGGTCGTACAAATGTATACCTGTTGTCTCAGTGTGATTATCACCAGCACCTCATTTCACTATCAGAAAAATTCCAGTTTGGATGATAAATTATATGGTCACCCTCTGGAGGCTAATTTGTCAATATCTATTACAATGATAAATGTCTATATCCTTTGACCCAGAAATTCTACTTACAGTATTTTTTTCATACAGCCATAATCTGACATACATGTAAAGTTAGTTTTGTGGAGATCTTGACAGATTGAATTAATTTCTGGAAAAATATAAAATCAGAAGAAACAGAAAAAATGAATATGCCAATAACAGTTAAACAAATTGAAATATAATCTATTATATTTACAAGAGGTCCTACCAAATCTTCAAGAAACTAATAATTTCTATCTCCAATAGACTGTTCCAGAGATTACAAAAACAAAGAAAGTGGTACAGTTCCTTGTGTAAGGCTATTGTAATCTTGATGTCAAAATAAGATGTTGGTACAAGTAATACAGTTGCAGGTCCATTTCACTAATAAACAGAGATAGGAAATCTTACATAAAATATAAGCTAACCATATTTAGTAGTGTAATAACAATATACTATAAACAAAGAAGGTTTATCCTAGTATGTAAAAAGAGCTTAACATCTTAAAAAAATGTAGTAATGTGTTTCACCACATTAATGGACTAAAGAGGATACATCACATAATTTTCTCAGTAGATGGAAAAAATAGCACTTCATAAATTCAACATTTATGATAAAAACAATCCTTAGCACACAAGGGGCATCAAGCATATTGATGGAGAAACTTTGGCTGCATTCATAACAAATTGGAATCCAGCATGTAGGTCTACTCTTACTGTTCAACAAAAATGTCCCCAGATTATCCAATACATTCAGAGTGAAACCAAGCAAAGTTTCAGCTAGAAAATGGAAGAATAAGTGTGCATTAGTAAGCAAGTAAACTTTGGGAAAAAATAAAAGCAAGAAGGTGAACTTGACAGCCAGATATTAAGATATACTACCAAACTATACTATAATAAAAATGCAGTATGATAATGACACAAGAGGGGACATCATGGAATGAACCCATAGCATAAAATTAAGCTGCAGAGACTGATCAGGTGTAAATGATAATTTGAAACACTGTACATGTGGTACCAAAAGTCAAAGGATCTCTGAGAAGAGTTCCTTTCATCTCAACTCAGAAAACTCTGACATAAAAGTTAGGGAAAAGCTGTTTCACATGTTACTGAAAAACTGACTCGTGATATGAAGGGAGAAGAAAAACAACTGGGTCATTACCACATCCCATGTACAAAAGAGACACAAGAAGAGTCAAGATCCGAACGTGAAAGACACAACTATAATGATGACAGGAGAAAGAATATCTTAGTAAGTCAGAGATGGGGAAGGACTTCTTAAACAAAACCTCAAGAGCACAAACAACAAAAAATCTTTAGGATGTATTTTGATTATATAAGAATTAATATTTTTTTCTCAAAGAAAGACACCAGTCGACAGTCAACTGAGAGTAATAGATTAAGAGATGGTATCTTTAGTGACTTGAGAAAGGAACAGGGCTAATATCCATACCATACAAATTATTCTTGCAAATCAACACGAAACCCAGGAATCCTCATAGAAAGATAGGCAAAGTATTTGATAATGAACTAGTCACAGTGTGGGAAATCTTAATTGACATAGTGTAGAGAGTGAGATGCTCAAACTCATTCATTAGAAGAGGGATGCAAATTAAAAAACAGCAAGAATATGCCTCTTCACATGGAACAGACCGACAAAGAATCAGACATTTGCAAAATGCTGAGTACTGGGAACACCCAGCAAAAGGAACTCTTTTGCCCTGCTGGTGGGAGTGGGACTAGTACAAGCCATTTGAAGGGATAGTCTGGTAGTACTTTATGAAATTAAGAATGCATGTTCCCCATGATCAGACCTCCACCCTTCTATCCCAGAAGAATTCTCGCACAGTTATTTAAAGGGACAAGGATGAGGATATTTATCGCAGCACTGTTTGGGGTGGTGGAAAGTTAGGGGTAGGCTGTGTCCATCATTGGGGAGTCGAGAAATCAAACATGACAAATTACACACTGTGGAACACTCCACACCTGATAAAAAAGCAAAGAACTAGATGTACTTTCAGCAGTGTAGCTGAAAGAAAAAAATTAGAAACAATGAAACCCATAGTACATTTATAGACTATAGTAAATCTATATTACAACACCACTCACATCCACACACCGGAACTTCCCTGCATTAAAAAAAAATCCAAAGCTAAATATTAAAATGTGTTGAGCATGTTGCGTCTGGGAGGAGGGAATGGGAGCAGGGAATGAAGATACAAGAGAATGAATAAATAAAACAAGAGAAGGGCCTTGGAGGTTTTGATTATTTACCATGAACTGAGAGATTATGATTAACTCAGTACTCTACCTGTGAGGTTAAATGAAAAGGGATTGATAACCTTTTGGGAAATGGTTGGGAAATCTTCAACTTCCAAATCAGTGAAGGTCAGCGGTAAGTTTACCAGGTACACAACCACATATCTTGCGACATGGTGCCTACCTCTTTGTGGCTAGTCACAATATCTCAGTGGTCCAGAGGCAGAATTCTGCACTTACGCCGTCCACAGGGTGATTTTCTTAGGATCCAGCACCACCCTAGTTAGTAATAGCTACACACTGTATTCCATCCAAATTAAAATGATAGCTTAAAAATCATCTACAAAGTTCATGTCACAAGCAATCTCATCTTGAATTTTTATCTCAGGGCATGGATAAATTTTTCCTTTTTGTGAGAATAATTTTTAAAAGAAGCTATTACGTGTTTTTCTCTGAAGTAGCAGACAACTTAAATGTGCTCTCCTCTCCACCCAGATCTGAGGCATTTTTATGTGAGATAAAATGAAGAATTCTGTTTGTAGTGGGTGTGAAGAGACAAGAGAAGTGCTATTATTTTGTTGTCCTGAAAAGCACTGTTGCTCTTATTTTTAAAAGAAAGGAAGAGTACTTAAGAGCCAGCGCCTTAGAATTGGCTGAAATGTAGCTTGACCTTGAACTACTTACTTAAACCTTCTGGGTCTCAGTTTCCTTATCTATAAAGGGAGGATGCATAGTTCAGGGTTTTTGAGCAGAAGACAAAGTCATGCATGTGGAGAGCTTCAGTGTCTAACATACAGTGTACATGTGAGTGGTTGTTACTACTTTGTTAATTGCATGCCTGTTACACAGCAACATAACAGGTGCTGTCAGATACACTGCTTTCCTTAGCATGACGGCAATATCAGGGGACAGAGTGACACTTATAAGGCAATCCTGGAATGGAGGAAAACTCTCATCTCATGTCTGCCACACTAGGATACAGAGTCAGATCAAGTATTCAGAGTCTTCTGAGGGTGGAAGTCAAGATCTTGCCCTTCCATGTCAACAACATTGATCTTCCAATTTACCATACAGAATATTAATCAGCCAGCCAAGGACCCCTTTTGGACAGACATTATACTCTTTCATGTCTGTGTTCTTAGCAGCCAGTGGAAAGCCTGGCACATTACTGAAGCCCTAAACAACAGCCCTTACAACCCCAATTTAAAGACAAATAAACTGAGGCATGGACATGACCAAAGTTAATCAGTGGTGGAATCAGGCGTTAATCTGTTTGTTTGGAATCCCAATTCTGAGTTTTTTTTCTTTTTTTTCTTTTTCTTTTTTGGCAGGTTCTTTGGTCATTCCATCAAAAAATCCTGGGAGGGGAGGGGGCGGATTTCCAGCAGCCTCTGTTATTGGCTTGTTTTCTCTTATCCCGTTACCCTCTCCTGGCTAAATATTAGGCAGGCACTCAAGGCCTTGATGCCCCTGATTTTTTCACATCCTTTCTGAACTTCTGACTTTGCAGTTTCCTTTTATATTTTGTTTTTCCTGCTGGCAACATATGCCTCATCTCAGTTTCCAGATCTGAAAATGGTGGGTGAATGACATCTTCCTGACTACTAGCCCATCCCCCCATTTTAGTTTCTTCCAAAGGCTTAGCTCTGCCTAGACTTAATTGTTTGTCTTCTGTCTCCCTCCCAGAATGGCAACATGGCGGGCGGGGGAGGCAGGGGCCTCCACTTCATTCACTGCTGTATCCGCAGTGCTGAGAACACCACCCGGCACACGGTAGAAGTCCTCAGTAAGTATTTGTGGTCACATACTTTTAAGCAGTATCTTCCATTTATTGAGTGTTTAACTAGCTGGCAAGAACTGCACTAAAGGTCAAATGCATTACATCATTCTTTTTCTTATTCATATTTTTAAAACATCCTGGCAGGGTGGCTATACCATCCTTCTCTGAGTGCTCCCAGCAGTGATGTAAACAGCCTGGGGACACATGGCTGCGTTTCAACCCGGGTCATGCTCTGACTTTTGCTTTTTTAGCAGCTGTGCCCAGCATTCACAATGTCACCTACATACAGTTTTCTAAAGTTAAAGCACAGAAAAGCAGTTTGCTGAGCAGTTACTAGAAAGGACCCCCCTCCCCAATCTCAATTAAGACCCTGGCTCTACTTGTCGTAATTGTTATCATTAGGCTGTCGCAGGTGTACTCCAATTCCAGAGAACCCGCTCCCATGCTTCTGAGCGTCCTGGATGTGCCAAACCTGCTAACCGCCAGGGCACAGGTGCCCTGTGCTTCCAGGGATTCTTCCCCATCCTGGGCGGGCAGCCAGGTCCGGCCTTCCCTTATTCGCCACACCCTCTCCGGCCCCTATTCCCCACCTCCACCCCTACCCTCCCTGGCCCTTATCCCCTACCCTCACCCCTTCCCTCCCCTCCCCTCCAGGCGGCCCAGGCAGGGTGATCTGGAGCCCGCAGTGTGAGGACAGTGCCCACAGGGGCGTTACTGTGGCTGGCATGCGCAGCAGCAAACACCTTGGAAAGGCTCCTCCTCGCTTCTTAGCACCAGGTTAAAAACCTCACCACCACGTGCTGTTTGCAAAGCTGCCTGTGACTGACACCCCAGAGCCAGAGACTGCACTCCCTGGGAGCCAGCATGTCAGCTGCAGTCCTGGAGAACGGAGGCTTCAGCAGGAAATTCAGCGACTTTGGACAGGTGAGCCAGAGTGGGTCTTAGCTGTGCAGGGAGGGGAATTTGGTCCCTGGTGGAAAGAGAGCTGAGGAATGTTTGTGTTTCCTACTACCACAAAGTCTGAATTCATTTGAAGATGATGAAAATATCCAGGAAGTTGACAGATAAGATGTGTGCTCAGCAAATGTCTCCCAGTGAGAGGACATCTGTCCTGTGTGGCTTTCAGGGACAGAGCACTGCTTGAGGAGTTGGGGATCTGGCTTCCAGAGCTGACAGGAACTAGCTGTGTGTCTTTGGACAAGCCACTGTCCCTGCCTGTTCACTGGTCCTTAACGATCTGGAATGGAAGTTGGGGTCCTGCCAGATCCACTCTCTTGTGATGTTGATAAACTGCTCTCAGCCAGGTATGGGAATGGCAAAAAAAATGAGAAATATATCTTGTTTTCACCTTTGGGAGAAAATGAGGCATGAAGAGGTCTCAGACTTACTTAGAACTGGGGAAGGAGAAAACAAAACAGAGAGGAAAATGCACGCGAGTTCGCCCTGGATGTGGAATGTGAGAGAACCCTAAATGTGGTAAGGATAATGTCCAAGGTGTGTCCCAGTCTCTGGAATTGGTTGCGAGAAATTGTGCCCCTCTTTCCCTTGAGGGGAACCACTGCAGAATACATTCTTTAGTTGACTGATCACACTCTCAGATTCTAGGGTTCAGACTCAAAGCCCAACCCATGGAGGTAACGTGAATGTTACGAGCATCTGCCGTCTGTAGGATTAGTGACAAAAATCTAGAGGACAGGGAGGCTATAGAGAAGAGGGTGACCAATGTTTTAGTGTAACTGGAGACTGCAGAACTTTGGACTAACTTCTTGAGTCCTGAGAGAAAGACTTCCTTTGAAAATGGTATGTCGAGCTTGGGAGACAGAACTTCCTGTTGGAGAGGGGCGGCAGGTTTGCAACCGACAGATCCAGACCAGACTCAGCTGTGCCAGCGTCTAGTTTCTGTGCTGCTGGCAGTAAGGCCCCCACAACCATAAGGGGAGTGTAGGAGCAGCGATCTGCTTAGGGAGCCATGGGAATTGAAAGCTTTGTTTATGGAGCACATAGAAGATTGAGAACCACAAATTGCCACTATCGGTGACTGGGATAAAGAGGAGGGTGCCCTGTAACACCTGTGCGTTGAAAGCAAGGTATTTAACTTGGCAGAGCCTCAGGTTTACTCATCTGAAAAATTGGAATAAAAATACCCACATCCTAAGATTGCTATGAGAATCAAAGGAAATAATGTCTATAATGTCTTAACACAGCGTCTGGAGCATCGGAAAGTGCCAGGGTGGCTATGGCCAGAAGTGATTTGTTTGTTCAACAAAATGTGTTGGAACATTGGCAGGAGGAATATGCACTGCATCAAGCACGGTGGCTGTTAGGGCCTCCCCACGGAAAGACATTGGACCGGGAGTCAGGAGATATGGGTTCTCGCCTTTGGTTTGCTGAAGCTCTGTGTTGGGAAGTCACCTAATGGGTGAAGAGGCTCAGCTTGGTATCCGTGAAATTGGAAGGAGGGGGCGAATTTTGAACTAGCATAGTCTTCAGGATTTCTTCCAGCTCTGACAGTCTGCAAAAAAGACACATTTATGCCTTCTTGAAGTTCACAACCCGGGTGAACAGCACACACAGGATGTAATCGATGTAACGCTGGAAGGTATATGGTGCATCACGTGCTCTGCACACGCAAGCACAGCAGTCCTTCAAGAGACCTCTGGCTCATTCATCCACTCTACAAAGACCACTGAGCAACTACTATGTGCCGCGCATGGCAGAGTTTCTGCTCTGGTCCCTAAAGAAAAATAGAATAGGGCAGTGAATTCGAAGATGAAGGAGACTCAGAAGTCATAGCTCTGGATGGCGAAGCCAGTGTTCAAACCCAGACCTGACTCCAATGGCCCGCACACTCCTCTACCACACTGCCTCCTCCAGGAAGTCAGTTCTGGAATACAGAGGCACAGTGTGCCCATGGCAGGAGGTCTACATCTTGTTTCCAGGTGTCTTACACACTGGAGATGTGTGTGTGTGTATAATCACACATGCCAATACACAGCTCCTCCCCTGGCCCCAAAAAGCAGTAAGATTGAAAGTCAGGAAAAGAAAAATGTCAGTGCCACTGGAATAGTCTTGCTGAAGCTGACTTGCTTTTGATTCTGAAAACTGCTCTTTTCCAAAGATAACAAACCAAAGAGAACATACTTCTATTTTTAAATGTATTGCTCAATGATCAGAATTCTTTCCTTCCTGGTTGCTATTAAAGATCTTCTCCGCCCTATTCCTTCTTATCTAGTTTCTGAGTTACTTTTCTCTACCATGATCCATCCTTGAGGTCATATGTGTTTCTAAGTCCACTCGCATGTCTATTGGAAACAAGTAAGGTGTAGATAGGTTACGAACCAGAGAAAACACACTCTGGATGCCCCAGATCCCATGCTGATCCACATGACAGTGTTGGAGTCAGGATCCACCCAAGGCCATTTCACTTCATAAACTTCGGTGAGCTTCCTTTCAAGTCCCTCAAGCTTTGAAAAAGGGAACTGTTATCCCAGTTGGGTTCCTGGGAGGTGGATTAAGGCTACTGGAGGCAGATGAAGGATTTTGGAGTTGTTGCAGCAGGGTTCCTGTGCAGGCTCTGCCACTCATCCCCTGGGTGTCCATGGACAAGCCACGTCATCTTGCCGAGCCTGTTTCCTCCTTTGCAGAACAGCAGCACCCACCTC